CACAACACCTCCCCCCGAAGCTGAAATTCTTCCTTTTGAAAATTTCTGCTTCTAATGTCGTCTTCTTTTTGGATCCGGACTAAAACGCTCCACTGGTTTTCTTTCCCGTGTGCTCCTTCTTTTAGTCGTCACACTTTGATCCTTTTTTGGCGAAGATAATTTCCGCTTTTCAGCCCGTAAGGCTGGTCCATGCGATACAGGTTCAAATACACTATTGGGTAGTGTCATGTTAAAAGCATTGCATAACACTTCCATCGGAATTTCTTCTTCGCTTTTTTCACTTTCTTCACCATATCGTGGTTAATCTGATTGATGTGTCTTTTACACGTAAATTTTTTACTTTTAATCGTAGACCACTTTTACCAATCCTTTTCTGGATTATGCCATCCATCCAATAGCTTTTCCCACTTTTAAAATTTAAAAAAAAACTTTTGTCTCCTGGAGTGTTTTTTTATGTTGATTTTTTCCTCTTTCTTAGCAACTTTTTTGTTTTGATAGGGTAACAATCCATCGAAAATTGATCTAATTTTCCTTAACATAATTTCCAAGAGGTGACATTTTCGCATCGTTGTTCTCATTAGGAGTTACCCCTATAGATTGCTAAAACTTTTGAATAGTTCTTTCTTCAGTGTCCATACCTCTATTTTTACGTAAAAGCACGTTTAAAAGTGTCAACAAATTTCTCGGCTTGACCGTTCGACCTGGGATGGCACACTGGTGTAGTTATGTGTTCAATGTCTAAGGCAGTACAGAAATCCTTAAATTCCATACTTGTGAACGCTGCACCATTGTCGCTAACTAATGTTCTGGGAACCCGGTAAACGACTGAAAATTTCATCCAATGCACTGATGGTGTTCCTAGATGTAGGATGCTTGCACTTGACTACCTCAGGCCATTTCGATAAAGAGTCCACCAATATCAAATAATAGTGCCCATTAATTGGTCCAGCATAGTCTATATGTAGACGTGCCCACGGCAAATCCGTTTTCGCCAAGGATTCATTTTGACCGGAGGTGCCCTTTGCAGCCAATTGACAACCTCTACATAGTCTTACAAAATCTTCAATATCCTTGTCCATTCCCGGCCAGTATACGTGAATCACGCATGAGTGATTTCATCGAGACATTCCAGGATGACCGGTATGAAATTCTTTTCAGCATATCTGTATGTAGAGATTGAGGTATAACAATTCTATTCTGCACATCAATGTGTTGTCGCAAATTGAAAAAGGTGAAATCTGAGTTCCCTTTTTCTGTCTTTTTTTGTTCCATCTCGTCTGGTTCCTTAATTTCACAATATAGTGATCTTTTTTCGCTTTTTTTTATTTTGTCCAATGTTACCGCAATTCCCTGATTGTATTCAACAAGAGACCTGAGATTTTTTTTCCTCAGTTAATGCTGCTATAACCGTCTCTTCTAACATTTCTTCATTTTTTAGAATCAGCCTTGACAATCCATCCGCATGCCCATGTTCTTTAGATTTGACGTATTCCATCCTAAAATGGTAATTAACAGGGTTACACCCCATCGCCGTAGTTTATTAGCTGTATCGAGGGAATGCCTTTTTACCTCCAAATATTGAAAGTAACGGTTTATGGTCCGTTTGCAGTACAAATGATCTACCATGTAAAAAAGCGGTGGTATTTTTTAACCCCGAACACAATCGATAAAGCCTCTTTCTCGATCTGGCTATAATTTTTTTTCAGCCGGAAGAAGAGTCCTCGGCCAAGTTAATAATCGGGTTTAGTAGTGCCATCTTCATATTTGTGTAGCAGTGCAGCACCCACTCCGTACAAACTTGCGTCAGTTGCCAGAATGATCTCTTTTCAGGATCATAATGTGCTAAAAGCGAGATCTGAGAGTAGGCATTTTTTTATTTTCTGAAAAGCCGCCCCGCAATCTTTTTGACCAAAACCATTTCTTGTCTTTTTTAACAATTCGTTGAGGGGGGGGCTCTTAAATCATACATTTTAGGTATGTAGATTGCATAATATTGTGCCAACCCCAGAAACGATTGAAGTTTCAAGAACTGTGTCGGGTGCAGGCATGTTCTTAATTGCATCGGCTCTCTGTGGGTCCGGTTTCCTGCCTTCACTGTCTATTACCTGTCCCAGGTACGTAATTCTTTCCATGAAGAATTTACACTTCTCGTGGCTTAATTTAAAAAACCAAAATCTTCTAGTCTTTTGAATATCGCCTGATGTGCGTTTTATGTTCTTGAACATTCTTACTTTTGACTAGAATGTCATCTAAATAGGCAGTACCAAACTCAAGGCCTGCCAGCATAGTGTCCATCACCTGTTGAAACAAAGCTGGGGCTACCTTTTGTTTAAAGGAAGCCTATTTAGTTTATAAATACCTTTTATGTGTATTTATACACAAATATTTCGAGCATTCGTCACTCACTTTAATCTGCAAGTATGCATCAGACAGGTCGATTTTGAAAAAATCTTCCCACCATTCAATTTTGAAAAAATATCTTCTGGTGAAGGTAGTGGATAACTGTGATTCTTAAGGCAATCATTTAATCCTGTTGAAAAATCTAAGCACACTCTTATTTTTCCGTTTTCTTCTTAACATAAACTGTGGGCTTAGGCCCAATCCGAATGGTCAACCTTAGATATCACTCCCATTTTTTTCAAGTCTTTCCAATTCCTTATTAATTGTGTCTAAGGAGGAAAAAGGAACGTTTTTCTTAGGTTTGAAAATTGGTTTCACATTTTCCTTGAGTTCAAATTTGACTTCCGTCTTAGTACATAAACCCAATCCCTCAGAAAAAACTCTGGGATATTCTTCTTTTAATTCATTTATGAATTTTTCATTTTTAATATTTTTTTGTTTTTCGGCACTGTTTATTACATTGCAAAATGAGTTAATCGGGAGTTCAAACAAATCAAAAAGTACTATCCAGTCTATTCCAAAAAGACATGAATTAATCCCTTGGATTATATACACTTTCGTTTTTGCAGTCTTGCCACATAACGAAATATCGCACTTTAATTCTCCCTTAAAGTTTAATTTTTTTCCTGAAACCCCTCTAGCGGTTTTTTTGGTTTCAGATAATTTAGGTCTTCCAATATTTTTCCATGTTTGTTCATCAATGATGCTTATGTCTGAACCAGAATCCAGTAGGAAAGTAATTGTATGATTATTTATACATACATCTACGTACTTTCTATTTTTACCTTTCTGAATTTCTTTTTCTGATAATACCAGGCTTACATCTTGTAATTTTTTTTTCTTTCGCAAACCGTATATTTATGCCCTTTATTTCCGCATTTATTGGCAGAATTTATTTTTGTACCAACACACGTCTTTGGTATGATTTATTTTTCCACACGATTGGCAGAATTTATTTTTGTACCAACACGTGTCTTTGGTATGGTTATTTTTCCACACATCTCACATTTTTCTACCTTTTTGGCTTTTTTGGAGTTTTTTCGAGTTTTTACATGTCTAACATTAGCAAACACTTTTCTCCTCAATTTGTATATTATCCCTTTTTACGTTTATGAGACGTTGGCATTCTTCGTCACCCTTTGTAATGTTATTTTCGAGTCTTGCTCGACCATTATTAATATTCTCGACCTAATTTCTTTATATTTAGGATCAGTTAGTCCTTGAAGAAAAAATTAGGCACTTGAATACATCTTTGGTTATTTCTTCTAACTTGAATTGTTCAACCAGAGAGTTCATTGTTCCCGCGTATGTCACAAAATCCTCGTTATCTGCTTTAACGATGTTTAGGCATCTGTATCGCGTGTGGAACAGACTATTCTTTCGTCAAAATATTTTGACAGAATACTTATAGTTTCTTCAAACGAAACTTCTTCTGGCTTTCTGGGCAATATCAAGTTTGAGTACTTCCTATTCTCGTTTGTCCCTAGTTTCTGGACTAATAATGTTACTCGTTCCTCATCCGACCAATGTTGACATCTCTTGGTAAATATAGTTTGAAACATTTAAAGTACGCTGGAAATGTAATGCCCGAATCAGGATCATAAATAAATTCGGATAATGAATTTGTTATTCTTCGCAGAAAAAACAGTATTTTTTCTTTCTCCAGTTGACTGTTTCAGAATTTTTTCGAGACTTTTTTGCTGTTGCAATATTTGTAAGTCTTGGTGCTGTTTTTGTAACTCTTGATGCTGTTGCTGTTGTTGTAACTCTTGATGCTGTTGCTGTTGCAAGCTTGTACACAGCATTTTAGTCATTTCGACTAATTGCTCCATCCTGACTTTCTTTAGAAAAAAAAAAAATTTTTTTTTTTTTTTTTTTTTTAGACAGTTAACACTCTCAACAGACAATTTACAGCCGTAATATTTTTTTACAACCCGTAATTTTTACTTGAATAATCAATTATTAGACCGCTCGTATTTGAGTTGCGGTTCAATATATATTTTTCAAATCACAATTTAACAGTAAAAATTCTTACTTTTCAAAAAGTTTTTTTGACTTGTGACTCCGCTTTTCAAAAATCCGTTCAGCGATATTTTTTTTTTTTTTTTTTTCAAGTAAATACGTTTGCACAATCCTTCGTAGCCAGCTGTTATATCTCTCAGACAAGATATAATAAACAAAGTAAACCAGTGTGGTTTTCAATAATAATTTTATAATCGGATGTAGGTATGTCAAAATACAGAGACAGCGAGGAGTAAGCTAACCGAATGGTGTTAGTAAACAAAGACCTTCTTTTTATCCTCTCTACTGTTTACTGTGGTCGTTTTTATCGCCACCAGAACGTCCATTATCGTGAATGGGGAAGTTGGGTTATCTCATCACAACATCAACCTACTTCATTCAGTAGTTAATATAAATTATATATATTAAACATTATATAGTAAAAATATCAAAATTCAGTTAATAACTGTCAGGTGAAGTCAAATAAAATTATTAAATAAAAGTTAAATGATGATCATAGATCAAGTAAAATTAAAATTGCAAAGTAAATTTCTCAATTGATTAATAAGAAAGCAAAACAAGTAAAATTGTGTACTTACTACCATAAGGTTTAGAGGACTCATACTTCCTTGATTTACTTTGGTCAAATAACCCATCTTCAATATGGAAACATAAACTTTTATTCGCGTTCCAGCAGCCATGTTCGTCTTATTACCACTCTTTTTGCTTAAAAAAAAAAGTTACAGAAAAATAAATCTTTAAAAACAAATTATTGTTATAAAAGAAAGACATTAAAATAGTAAAAGGATTATTTTAAAAAAAAATTATACAAATAAATGTCTAAATAATCTATATCATTACTGCCCACATCTTTGTTATCATAACATTTTGACCGTTGTGCCCTTTGGTCTTCCTCAGGTAACCTATAGGGAATTATAAACTGAACACTTTATTTAATCTACAGAAGTAGTTTACTATAATTCCTCTACCCATGTTTTATTTTTAGTACTGCTCAGTTATTGCTTGCCTATTTCCAGTGAGTCCAAGTGCAAACTGCCTAGTCCAGGGATTGAACTCACAATCACTATGTTACCAAATTCACAAAACTAATGTTTTCATCCACTAGGCCATTGTTCCATAGGACAATTTGCTGTAGTGAACTTGGAATCTTAAACCTAACTTTGCCTGCTGATTAGTGTTGCAACTGCTGTCTGTCATATTGTGATTGCTGCTGCTGTTTCAGACTTGCTGTCATTTGTCTTTCTTTATTAACATCTCCTATATTGTATATATTTAATATAGTGTAAATAAAAAAACATTGTATCTTCTGATTTCCTTGAGGTGTCTGTTGTCATACTCAGTAACCATTTCTGGAACAAGACACATATGGCCAAGCAGAATAAAGCATTGGTTAAAACTTATAGTTCCTTGGCAGCGCTGAAAAGTCAGATATATTGATTTGGTGAAAGAAACAGATGTGACACAAAGGTGATATTTGGTATCACCTCAGTATGGAAAGTAGAATTAGAACCATCTACCTACATAGATTGAATAAAGGGTTTGGTTCAAAATTCTGAGAAGGTTACCAGATATGACAACAAACAATTTAAGAATGCTGTAGGGTATAACAGTCAAAATGTTATTATTACAAGCAGGATTATTATGTATGTTTGAATATTAAGACATAATAATGATAATACCTCTTCTCAAAAATGTCAACATAAATTATATAAATAATAATGAAACTGAAACTGGTCAGGGGTATTGGCCAAGCCAAATTTGGGAAGTAATTAACTGAGAGTTATAGATCGTTAATTGGTTATCTCAAGCGTCAACCACCCCGAAGAATCTTCAATTTTGGTCTTTAGTCAATCATTGCTAAGAAGCAACTTGGAGTCATGATTAACCATCAATCCCTTTCTTAGACAGTTCTTGTAAGACAAACTTATCATAAAGGGCCTTAGAAGAGATTTCTTTTCAACTTACAAAATTCTGCTTACAGAACAAAAATGCAAGACTAAGTTTGGTTGCAGGTGCAACACTTGTTTAGTTTACTAAGCTTGATTTGTTTTTTATGGCTTGTCAAGCTTTTCCAATTTATTTAAAGCCAGAAAATATTTTTAGATTGTAAGAATTTTTTTTGGAGATAATGATATTTACTGATACAAGTTCTACTAATTAACCCATAGCTGGAGGAGAAGTGGATTCATACTTTTCCCAAGGGTATTTGTGCATAGATGAATATAATGGACCTAACTGGAATTAGAACTTGGCTCTCAGATTTCGAATTCTTAGCCATTATCCATTATACCACTTGCACATCCAAACTTACAGCACCTGGTATTCCCAAGTGGTTCCCCTTTGACCAGGCTCCATGTTGCTTAACTTTGGTGATTGCACAAGAACCAGTGTTTCAACATGATTTGACCTATAAGCTTAAGTCAGCTACTGAGCCAACAAATTGAATAGAATATTTTTTAAAAATTAATACATTTACTGACTTTTGAACTGTGATTATAAAATATGATGTACATATCTTTACAGAGGTTTAAAAACAATTATTGTAACCATGAGTCTACCTATTTAGGAGTGTTGAAAAATTCTAGGCCTGGCCAACTTCGCAAAAATCAATGATCGGACTTTTGAATACTGATTTTGTTGAGTGGGAACAAGAACTTTTTAGCACCCCCTCCCCATATACAGGGTGCAGTAGGTAAATTGTTGCCATCTTATATTTTTAATTTCTTGTATCTGTGTTGTTTGTTTCTGATTTTGTCAACTGAACAGTATAGTAGGATCAGTTGAGCACAGTCTGTGAGAAAAAGAGCACCATAACGCAATTCATTCCACCAGAAGTTGGGAAACAAAATGCTGTACTGTCTGGCAATCATGCTGGAAGCTCCAATTTTAGAGTGTTTGGGTGTCAATCAGAGGACAGTGGAGAGGATTCGGAAATAGTTGGAGGAGTCTAATGGCGATTATGAAGGTATTTGGAATGATCACTAGTGATTGTGACATTATGTCTCCATTCATTTTCCCACAGGGGTTCAAACTGAACATGGAGTCCTACATTAACTAGCTTGAGAAGGTAGTGTTGCCCTGGATTGAGAGGGTGGCTGCTGGAAGACCCTATGTGTGGCTAAAGGACTCTGCACCATGCCACACAAGCAGGAGAACCCAATCATGGCTGTCAGACAATTTCTGCAACCACATCACCTCTTGAATCTGGCTAACTCCTAAGACTGCAACCCCTTTATTATGCGTGGAGCACAGTTGAATGAGAGGCCAACAAAACTCCTTATAACCAATGATGAACTGAAGGCAAGGATTATGGCAGCATTTACCAACTTAAACAAGGAGACCATCCAAAAGAGTTGCAGGAGATTCTGAAGTCATCTGGAGGCTGTAGTTGAAGTCAATGACAATTTTATTGAATAAATTTACTCTTTAGTATTTCAAGATATTTTTGTGTAATTTTGATATCAGTTAAAAGGAGATGTCGATGTTTTCATTTTTGTGTAATTTAGACGACAACTTATCCATTGCACCCTGTATATGTATCGTGCTACTCCAAAATTAAGAGTATTTAAACAGATTGATTAGTCTATCTGTTGAGTTACTAAGTATTTCACCTGTCTTACCAAACATTTTGTAAATCTCAAGAAATAACCTAATTTTCTATATATTTTTATATCTAAGGAAGTCATTTTATGCCTTAAATTTCCCAAACATTATGATCTACAACAAACTCATTTTACCTAAGACGAGTTAAAATGAAACACTTTATAAGATATAATTTTAAACAAGGAAGTGTAAAAAACTTTAGGAAGCAAGAAATCATTCAAACAAATTTTATTAAATTCAAATGACAAAATTTGTACGTTAAATTTTTTATTGTACATTTTCCAATTTTCAAATAAGTTGTTGCATATCTGGATCAAAATTGTGGATAAACTAGAATAAATAAATTATTTTTTATTTTAGTTTATATCAGGATATTTGCATCATTTTTTTCTATAATCTAATTTTATCTGTTTGTCAATATGACTGAGAAATTATTGTTGATTCAAATGCTTTATGTTGCTCAATTCTTTACAAAATATTGGGTGTAAAGAAGAAATTAATTTTGCTTGGCTAATCATGTTTTTTATTCTACCATAACTAGACACACCCTAACTATAAGCAGTCATTAAAAATATAATTTGCCAGCATATATCCCTTAATGATTCCAATAAATACTTTAGATTTATCATTTCCCTTAATAAAGTTTAAAACATCTAACCTAATTATTACCAATGTTGTTTATGAATTATTAATAATATCCTTTGGGAGATTGCATCTACAATACAAGCAATCACAAAGCAACATTAAATTCTTACATTGGTGACACAAGCACCACACTCTTTCATAGATTAACGTGTCACTTATCTTACACTAGTCACAAACCAAAACCATCAGATAACAAACCAAAATGCAACTATTAACATGAGACAAATATTAGTTGTTAATACCAAAATATAACAAATCACTCTGTTGTGATGTCTTTTAGTCTGTGACATAGAAGTTCTACCTCTATACTGAGTGATGACTGACTTATTAGTAGTCACTTTACTCTATACAAATTAGACCAAGTCTATTTTACCTATGCCAGTACACCTAGATGTTTTATGCCCTTCAATGATCTGTGACTTCTCTGAACAATAGTACAAGATCTTATCTCTCTCTCTCTCTAGAGATGTGTACCTGGTTCTTTTTATTGGGGATATGGATTCATTTTCATTCTGATCTTCTGACTCCATGTCAGATTTGTGTGAACTAACCCCCATAATTTCTTTACTACTATGTTTGCTTTCTCCATCAGAAGTATTCATGTTTTCCTCCCTTTCAGGTTCCTCCTCCTCTTCCATCTCAACTTCTTTGTCATCTGTTCTAGTTCTTATTTGATCAGAATGAACCAATAAATTTTGTCCATTTGTGGCTATTATAGCTGTATTATGTCTCTTTTGTGCAATTTTTCAGGACTTTATTCTCTGTCTTTTTTGTACCACATTTTTTCATTTATTGAATAGGATATTATTATAGGCAATCTAATTTGTCTTCCCATCAATGCAGAGAGACTTTGCATTCTACAAGCATGTGGAATAGTTCTATAACTCAGTAAGAGTCTCTGGATGGGGAAAATACCTTCAACCCCATTTTTACTGTCTGCATCATTGTTTCTGCAATTCAATTACAGGTGGTATAGTGGAGTTTCATAAAGAAGGCATCCAATTTGTTTTAATCACGAGCATAAAGTTTCATTACAAAATTTTGGTGCATTGTTATAGACAAACTTTTTGGCACCCCATTTCTGAAAAATATTACTTGTAATATTTGATTTACTGTGGATCTCTTCCTATTCTGAACTCTAAACACTTCAGGCCATTCAGAGAATGGGTCAACCACAATTAAAAATAGTCCTATGCCTTTAACATGTGCATGATCCTTATAAATGCAGGCTCATGACTTTCTTTAGGCCATGAATGTATCTTCTTTTGGCAAAAGAAATTTTTATTTTCCTATATTTTGGGCATTTCTGTATGGATTTTTCTACATCACAAGAATACCCAGGCCACCAATGCTTCCAATTTTAATCATCTCTGTGTTGCTGTTATTCCACAATGAACATCATCATGTACTCTTATTATTATATCTTTTTGTAATATTTCTGGTGTTATTAAAACCTCTCCATTGCATATAAGACCCCTCTCTATAGTTAATCACTTTATAGTCACTCTGCCCTAGAACAATCATTCCATTTGTTTCTTTTTATTCTATATGCAATCTTGCTTAATACCAGATCCTGTAAGACAAATGCAAGACAATCTAAGGGAGTACATCTGTTTCAATCTAATGCAATATTTCATCTTCTGAACTGCCTGATCTTTCTAATGGTTCATTGTTAAACTTTAGCCTTGATAAAGCATCTACATGTGAAATAGTGTTTCCTTTCACATATTTGATGCTGAAGCCAAAGACCATGAACTTTATAGCCCATCTTAAAATTCTAGAAGATGTAACTTTAGGTAACTCCTTCCATGGATTAAAAATAAACACAAGAGACTTATGGTCAGATTTAAGCAGAAAATACCTAATAAAATCTGATGAGCTCTATCAGTACTAGATAGCTAATGCTCCTTTTGCAATATTTGAATAGACAGCCTCAGATGACATTAACCTTCTAAAAAAAAAAGTTACATTATAGGATGACCTTGAGACAAAATTCACTGATACAGCATGCCCACTTGCATCCATAGTTAAAGTTACTTCCTTTTTTAGAGTTAAATTTTTTTTCTCCATAAAACAACGAGTGAGGCCTAATTACTACAACCTGGGGAACATGCTCTAAAATTCCTTACTCCACCATTGTTTCTAGTTTAGCAACTACTAAAGGTAGCATGTGAATGGGCAGTCTGTGAGACTCAAAGAAGGAGGGGGTGACTATTTTCTTTTAATTGAATGCTCACTTTGTATCCTTTTAACATCCACATGTCATTACTTTCCAACTTCACACTGTTAATTAATTTGGTTGTATCCACTTTCAAGACCTCTATTCCTACAAGTCCATGACTTTAACATTTCACTACCATGATGGGAATAATTTCAAAGCATGTATCAGTCTCAAAAGTTCCTTCAAATCAACCTAACGTTTTGATTAAAGAGCCATCAAACTGTCTTAGTTTAAGCCAACATTTCTTTACTTTGGGTTTGCCCATTCATTCCTAGAAATTTATTGTGTATTAAATAATTAAAGTATAAGTATAAAACATTTAATAGATTTGTTTTCTGGTGCTGTCAAGTTCTGAAACCAAATATCAGATTTTTTTCTTTTTTTTTTAACATACCCATCAATGCAAAATAGGACACAAGATATTTTTATGTCTATGCCAAATGGATGTTCAAGTATCACATCACTTATAAAATACACATATATATTTAAATTTGAAATATAGCATTCTAAAAATGCTATAATGTAGCTAACAAAACTTTTCTCATTGATACTGGCAACATTTAGGTCAAAGTACTACAACAGAAACATTTGACAGTTTGTCCACAATTTTGATTAGAGTGTGCAACAACTTATTTAGAAATTGAGAAAAGTATAACAACAAATTAAATAGACAGGCCTTGTTAGTTGATTTAATAAAACTCGTTTAAATATGTGTGTAGAGCTCTTTAAAAAATAAATAATTCTGCAGTCTAATATAGTAAATAAATAGCATATATACATTAATTCATCATAGTTTACTGCAGCAAAGTAAGGCATGAGAGATACTGAACTACTTTAAGCTGACCTCATAAGTATTAGCTTATTATCAGAGTCAAACCTACATCAATGACCTACTGATAAGAAACATAACCTCCTTTACGATGATGATTTATATTATTAACAAACTCAGAATATGTATGTAGTTTCTAATAATTTGATTAGATTTGTGGCAGTGTATTTTAATGCAGATCTGTTCTAAATCTTTTAAAGCAAACTAAATATAAAACTACACCTCTGCTAATCAAAACCAAAGTCTTTACAGCTGGTTTTTCAGGAAATGACGAAAGGAAAAATTTTTATGTGTGTAAAGCTGATAACAGTGTCCTAGTAGTTTTGGTACTGACTGAAGTGGACATTGTTGACATAGTATTTAAAAGAAAGCTTCTAGAAAGATAGAATCCACTCCCTTTATGACAAATGTAAAATTTGGAGAACTAGAGATGCTAAAAGTGGTTTCCTGTTGAAATATATCAAATCCTCATTTGCATTTTAAAATTTTCTTTCTACAAAGCCAAAAAAAGATTTATGCGCTTTATTTTAAGTAGTAAGCAAGCAAGAAACACTTCAAGTTAGCAACTGCTACCAAATCTCTGACAACTGTGCTGTTTTTCTTTTTACATTTGGTAAATACAAGAAATTTAGACAAGAAACAATGACTAGTTAACAAGGCGTTGATAAGACAAAATTATATCTGACTATGAATAAAAGAAATCTATGAATTCATTTTTGATTTTTTATCCTGCAAATTTTATATTCAACAGTAAATAACAAAAGGATTAATAAATGTTAAATTAACCAGCCTAACCATAAAATAAAATGTACTTAAACATGCTAAAAATTAATACTTGTTGATTTTGAACTATTATGATTTTATACTCTGATAATAAACAAGTTTATTGATGGTGCTATGAACAAAGAAATCTGCTGATTGTGGTCACTTTGAAGCAGGGATTTTAACAACCATCAGATTTTCATTAAGGAAAGAGAATAAAAATTTAAACAATTTTCATTCATTATAAATAACTTTAAATTTTAAAAATTTAATAGAAATTCCATTCATTTTTAATTAATTTTAAATAATATATTTAGAACCAACTGATTTTGATAGTTAAGAATAACTATTTGAAAATAATTGTGATTATAACAGTTTGATACAAATTAGACAAGACAAAAATTAGCAAAAAGTAGATAATTTTTTTCTCAATTTTATACAGAACATTACAAAATATTCTTGTTTATTATATAAGCAAAAATTCAGATGTAACTAAAAATATATTTCTAAAAAATGACAATATGAATAAAGACAAAAGGGAAAATTTATCTTAATGGACACATTTTGTTCCCTGATATACTTTTTATTAAGGCAAATATAAGGATTTTATTTTGCAACAAGTGTAAGGGTTTTTTGTGTATTTGTACTTGATACAAAATAAAAACCTTACATTTGCTTTGATAAAATCTATCAGAGGATGAAACGCATTGGCTAAAATGAGTTTTCCTTTTGTCTTATATATATGTGTGTGTGTGTGCGTGTGTGTACTCTGCTCAAAACATGGTGAGGTGTCTGTACACATGTATAGTAAAAACGGTATAATAGTAAGAACTATGAGGAAGTGCTGAAAAGTCCTTGGCTTGACCTGCTTCCAAAGGTTTAACCAAATATCAGATTTTTTTCTTTTTTTTTTTTAACATACCCATGAATGCAAAATAGGACACAAGATATTTTTATGTCTGTGCCAAATGGATGCCTGGTACCCTCAGAGTTTGCCGTAATCATCAGGTTGCACCCTTGCTCCTACAACTTATACTGTAATAGGTAGGTATGGTTTAGGGTGATGGATCCTTGGACAGGAAACTTATGTTCCATTTGGGCATCAAACCTATTAAAGACAAGAAGATAAAGGGATCAATTAGATATGAATATAAAATGAATCATTTTCATCCAAAGAGCTAAATAAAAGATAATACTGCAACATCTAACATTCAACTGAAATAAAAGCTTTTTTTTTCCCCAACTAATTTTGGTTCCAATTGTAAATTTGGTGGCATAAAGAAATATTAGAATCTTGAGATCAAGCAAAAGTAATAAATCACAAGAAAAAATAAACAAAAAAAAAACAAAACAATAAAAAAATTGTGGCCAATTTACTTTCTTACAAAAAAAAAAAAAAAAGACACAATTTAAAAATTCAGAAAGCTACATAAACAGACTCTTGTAACAAATAAATGGTAGTTATTATTAAGCAGAATTCATATCAGTGTCCAGACCAGGCAGTGTTAAAACCCTTTCTCAAATGATTTTGCTTTGCCCTTTAACCAATTACAAAGTAATTTCCACTGCAAATTTCTACTGAAGACTTCCAGTATTCTATACTCAAAAGCTTTGTTTAAATATTCTGTGATTTATTTTCCAAGAAGCATTACATTTTAGACAGCATTTACAAACCTGTGAAGAACTATCCATAACATAGATAATATCATGAGTATGTTTTCCAACAGGATTTTCTACAAGACACTTCATGAACAATGCAAATCTAACTTCACTTGAACAAAATGTTGTGAACAAACTCAAACAAAATGATTTACTAAAAATTGTCCTATCAACTTATGAAAAACTATACAAACTGAAATTTTACTGTCACAGAATTATGTCATAATTGTATTTCATTGAAACCTACATCAAGAATAAAAAGTGATACAGTTTATATATTTACACACAAACATTATATATCATATTGGTAGGTACCTAAAAAAAAAAAAATCTAAGTTTTAATATGTATTTTAGAAATGAAAAATCTTTCTTGAAGCTTTAATTTTAATCCCAAGTTAATAGATTAAATTTAATATTTCCAATATTGGATCTAACTTACACCTTTATCCACTGAAGACACATGGCATAGTGGATAAAGGTGTTAGTTAGATCCAGTGACAGGACCCAAAGAGTGTGAGTTCAATACTTGGTTAAGGTGGTGGAGAACTTGGAGAGGAGAATTAACAGGAGATAACTAATAACTGACATCCATGGCATGTGGAACTAGAACAGTCTACCCCAGTGAGTGAAATAAAGGATTCAGTTTGACATTCCAACCACCTGAAGAAGGCTTGAGCGTACAACGGCTGAAAGGTTGTAATAAATATGGCGACAAAGATGAGGACAATAGTCCAAATAGTGTAGAACATAATTTTTAATTAAAAAGATCTTTCAAAACTAAAATATACTTTTCTAAAACTTTATTTGAAAAAGATTAACTGACTTAAAGTTTAATTAATCTGAATTAAAACAAATATTACTTTTAGTTTAAAATATTACAGAAAAGCATTTTTTAACATGAGTATTTTATGAGGCGTTGACACATCTATCAATAACTTGATGTTTGCAAGATTTATGTAAGAGGGAAATGATTGTAGTAAAATTACACAACAAATGCAATGCAAATACCATTTTTAGATATTTTTTTTTTAACTACCCAGTAAAAACTTAAATATTTTACACGTACTAATATTTTATTGAATTTATGTACTTTGGCTTTATAGTCTTATTTACAAAGATACTTATTGAGGAAATGTTACAAAATTAAATATAAATTTTAAATTTACTATACACTCTTATTTTCTGATAATGTCATGTATGGACATCAAGGTTTAAAAAAATTGGCATGTTTATAAACACACACACAAAAAAAAAATTCAAAATTTTTTTTTTTTTTAAATGCTGAGGATTGTTGAATTGTAAGATTTTCCATTTATGATTGGTGAATATAGTTTTTTATTTAACTAACAGCATGCCCCGGCGTTGCCCGTGCTTGATTTAAAAATCATACGACTTATACAGCAATTTTCTTGCATGAAAAGGAAAAATGGAATGGAGTTTGCATATCACTGGCTGAGGACTTCAGTGTAGACCACATTTTCAGCTTTTTGCGAGGGTGAATAAAGGAACACATCTTCGCGCCTGCCGACTCGAGAGCAAGCTACATAAAGTCGGCCGTCTGAGAAGCACTGCTCCTCTAAGTGTACACCAATGACAGACAGCGTTTGTCCTTGGTCCTTCAAACCCTTCCAATGGCTCCTTCACATGGTGACTCCCAATGGCCTCGTCATAAATCCGGTCAGATTTAGCTAAAAACTGACATGCGGTTCAGGTGCAATCTGGGCGTATCGATTTTTGGATTTTATTGATTTTACGCGCTGTTTAGGGGTCCGTGGTCATGAAACTTCTGGACAACACTTCTAATGGTAGACTCTAAGAGGGTGTCAAATTTGGTTGTAATGCGATCATTCCTTCTGTAAGCATATTTTTTTGATTATCGATTTTTTCAATTATTGATTTTTTTCGGAACCTAAGTCCGAACTCAAAAATCGGGCTCTGTCATATCCTTACGGCAGCCATTTGCAAACTTATGGTGAAAACCGCATCGAAATCGGGTGAGAAATGCGGCCTGGGGGAGGTAACAACGCCCACGACAGACAGACAACATGAGAAATATAGATAGTAGATAACAATATCACTTGACTGCTACAAATCAATACAGAATTTCTTCTAATTTAAAAAAAAATTAAACCAATTCTTGTAAAAATTCATTCACCAAAAAAATTTTTCTTATGAAAATAGTGTCCATAATGTATTTTATTCATAAAAGCAATTAAAAGCATTCCTGTCTTAATTTATTGCATTTTTTTTTTTATTTTACAATTCAGAGCAGATTTTCTGTAACATTTTACCAAGATTTTTTAAAAAACATGTTTCAAAAATAATGTCATTCATTTGTGAATAATTTCAAAAAGTATCATTAAAATCCAACAATTATTTTTGCAAAAAGTTACAAATCAATGTTTCTCACCACAAAAAGATATTCAAATTTCCTGTGATACTTTTTGGTTCCCCATTGATCCTAAAGAAACAAGATTTTTAACTAAAATTTTGAAGGTTCTAAAATGGATTAAAAAAATTTTTTACATCAAAAAATCCTCTGGTCTTTTGTCTTAATAATAACACAAAGATTTAAAAAATAAAACATTGTTTTTATTAAATTTTGGGCATTTTTTCATCATGTCTGCTCTTTTTTTAGCAAATCTTTGGCAACACCTATAAGTTGTGTTAAATTCAATTGACAAGTTTTGTCTTAATATTTTTATTGTATTTTTCCAACTTTTAAATAAATTGTTGCACCTTTGGATCAAATTGTAGATAAACTATCCAAAGTTTATGACATTGCTCCACTTTTGTTTGAGTACTTTTGACGGTCTTGGTCATGATCAGAAACTAAATGTTGTCAGTATTGTAGACAACAGTTTATTAGCTACATCTGAGCATTTATGGAATATTACATTTTAAATTTAAATATACTGTGTCTATCATACAAGTGAAATCATGTGTAGAATGATTTCACAGAACTTGACAACATCAGAAAACAAATATATATATATATATATATATATATATATATATATATATATATATTAAATATCATATACATATTATAATTATTTATAGTTATTTTGAATATTTTGCACACATTTTAAAATGTTGTCTCCTAAGCATGTTAAGGCAACTAGTTCAAAGTTTTGGTTAAGTAATATACAAGGATAGAGATTTGTAAAATTATAAGACAGAGGTGAGTTATGTCTATGCATTTTTATATTCCCATATAGGAAATTGGGGTGATACTCACCCACAATTTTGTGGAGATTTGATAGCTCTGATACAGTGTTTTTGGTTGTAATAAGTTTATGCATCTGTGTCTTGATAAAGCTAGTAAGTTTTGTTTAGATTTTTGAATTTAACTTTGTAGTGAAAAGTAGTTTATTTTTGCATTGTAATTGGTCTTCTTGAAAATAGTGAAAATGCTAGATTTATCACTCTAGAGATTATGGTTTCATTATTTCAAAGTTTCACCCTTGTGTTTTGGTTTAGAGTTAGGTTTGTATTCTGTAGTTAGGTCTACATTTTATGCCTTCAGCTTTAAAAGTGAGTTGAGATGTATTTGTCATCTTGTAATTGTAGCATTTTTTTTGTATAGAATTTTGATTTCCACTTTTTTTTTTATACTGTCATCAAAATTGGAGTAGAAATGGCAGGTTGGTTCCAAGTTAAGACATTCCTTTTGTTGTTTGGTAAGTTGGTGTATGGAGAGATTGATGAAGTTGTCCGAGGAATCTGGAAGATATATTTTTCTTTTAAAAAAAGAAAAAGTATAAATAAATAAGTTGTGCAAAGTATAAATCAGCAAGAATTCATTTTAACAAGTTTTGTTAAATTCAATTGTTGAGCTTCTTTTGTTTTTTTTTGTATAGTTCATGCTTAAATTGTTTTTTTTTTTGTTGTTGCAAAAAGATAATTTTGTATTTCAGTGTAGTTGTTGGAGGTTAAAGATTTTAGGGTATTTTGTTTTTGTTTTAAATAAAAAAAAAATCAATGTTGTTATCACTAGCTAAAATTATTCTCTTTTCATTAAAGTACATTTGAACTTTGTAGGGTTAATGTTTTTGTTCATTGCAGGGTTGTGCAAAGTATAAATCAGCAAGAATTCATTTTAACAAGTTTTGTTAAATACAATTTTATACATAGTATAATTATTTTATATGCATTTTAAATATTTTGTACACATTTTAAAATGCTGTCTCATATGGTGAAAGATACTGGTTTTTTGTTTTGTTTTTTTTTTAATACAGGTTGTTTTTTTTTGTATATTCAAGCA